GCCTCCAGCGGCACGAAGCCGTAGTGGCGCAGCCAGCGCAGGTCGCTGTCGAAGAAGGTGCGCAGGTCGGGAATGCCGTACTTCAGCATGGCCAGACGCTCGATCCCCATGCCGAAGGCGTAGCCCTGGTAGACCTCCGGGTCGAGGCCGCAGTTGGCCAGCACCTTGGGGTGCACCATGCCCGAGCCCAGGATCTCCAGCCAGTCGGCGCCGGCGCCGATCTTCAGCGTGCCGCCCTTGCGCGCGCAGCCGATGTCGACCTCGGCCGAGGGCTCGGTGAAGGGGAAGTAGCTGGGGCGGAAGCGCACCGGCAGGTCGTCGATGCCGAAGAAGGCCCGGCAGAACTCGATCAGCGTGCCCTTCAGGTGGCCCATGTGGGTCTTCTTGTCGATCACCAGCCCCTCGACCTGATGGAACATCGGCGAGTGGGTGGCGTCGGAGTCCGCGCGGAAGGTGCGCCCCGGGCAGATCACGCGGATCGGCGGCGTCGCCTTCTGCATGGTGCGGATCTGCACCGGGCTGGTGTGGGTGCGCAGCACCAGCGGCGCCTCGCCCTCGTCGCGCGGCGGCAGGAAGAAGGTGTCGTGTTCCTGGCGCGCCGGATGCTCGGGCGGGATGTTGAGGGCGTCGAAGTTGTGGAAGTCGTCCTCGATGTGGGGGCCTTCGGCGACGGAAAAGCCCATCTCGCCGAAGATCGCCACCAGCTCTTCCACCGTCTGGCTGATCGGGTGGATGTGCCCGACGCTGAAGGGGCGGGCGGGCAGGGTGACGTCGACCGTCTCCGCCGCCAGCCGCGCTTCCAGCTCGGCCTCGGCGAGCGCGGCCTTGCGCGCCTCGATCGCCTCGGCGAGGGCGTCCTTGAGCGCGTTGAGCCGCTGGCCCGCCTCGCGCCGCGCATCCGGCGAGAGGCCGCCCAGCCCCTTCATCAGCTCGGTGACCCGGCCCTTCTTGCCGAGGACGGCGACGCGCACCTCCTCGAGGGCGCGCAGGTCGCCGGCCGAGTCGATCTGGGCCAGCAGCTCGCCCTTCAGGGCCTCGAGATCGGTTTGATCCAGCATGCCGGCCGCTCGCTCCCGCGGGTTACGCGGAGGCGCGGGCGGCCTTGGCCTGCGCCACCAGGGACCCGAAGGCTTCCGGCTCGTGCACGGCGATGTCGGCCAGGACCTTGCGGTCGACCTCGATGCCGGCCTTGGTCATGCCGTCGATGAAGGTCGCGTAGGTCATCGCCTCGTCGTGCGCGCGCACGGCGGCGTTGATGCGCTGAATCCACAGGCTGCGGAAGTTGCGCTTGCGCGCCCGGCGGTCGCGGTACTGGTACTGCAGGCCCTTCTCGACCCGCTCGACCGCGACGCGGAAGACGTTCTTGCCGCGCCCGCGATAGCCCTTGGCGAGCTTGCGGACCTTCTGGTGCCGCGCATGGGCGGTCACACCGCGCTTGATGCGTGCCATGTCTGTCTAACTCCTCGGGTGGCCTGAGACGGCTCAGTCGTTCGGCAGGAAGTTCTTGCGGACGATCTTCGCGTCCGGCGCCGAAAGGATGATGGTCCCGCGCGAGTTCCGCAGCATCTTCTGCGAGCGCTTGCGCATGTTGTGGCGCCGGAAGGCGGCGCTGGCGCGCACCTTGCCCGAGGCGGTGAGGCGGAAGCGCTTCTTGGCTCCGCTCTTGGTCTTCATCTTCGGCATTTCGTCCTCTTGTGTCGTCGTTGGCGAAGAGCCGCGGCGCCCGTCGGGGCGCCCGGCGGCGAGCGACTGGGCATGCCGCAGCCGCGCCGCTCGCGAAAAACCGGCGGCCGCGCCGGGGTCGGCACGGCCGTCGGGAGCGCGGGTTATAGCCCCACGCCGGTGGGCTTGCAAGGGGTCGGACCGGCGCCCCGGCAGGCCGCCGGTCGGCGCCCGCGCCAGGGCGGTTTCCGACCGTCCGGACCCGCGTCGGCGAGTCCGCCGGTCACCCCCTGCTTTAGCGCGGGGCCAGGATCATGATCATCTGGCGCCCTTCCATCTTGGGGAACTGCTCGACCTTGGCGATCTCCTCCACCTCGCCCTTGACCTTGTTGAGCAGGTCATGGGCGAGGCCCTGGTGGGCGATCTCGCGGCCGCGGAAGCGCAGGGTCACCTTGACCTTGTCGCCTTCCCCGATGAACTTGTGGATCGACCGCAGCTTCACGTCGTAGTCGTGCTGGTCGATGTTCGGGCGCATCTTGATCTCTTTGACCTCGATGACCTTCTGTTTCTTGCGTGCCTCGTTCGCCCGCTTCTGCGCCTCGTACTTGTACTTGCCGTAGTCGAGGATCTTGCACACGGGCGGGTCGGCCTGCGGGGCCACCTCGACGAGGTCGAGTCCGGCCTCGTCGGCGCGCTCGCGCGCGTCCTCGATGCTGACGACGCCGACGTTCTCGCCGTGCTCGTCGACCAGGCGCACCTTGGGCACCCGGATCTGCTCGTTGGCGCGCGGTCCTTCGCGGGTGGGCCCGCTATCCATCGGTGGTCTGCGTATGGAGACTTCTCCTAGCGTTGTGACGTTCGGTCGTTGTGGTTCGGCGTTCCGCCGGTCGCAACGGCTGCAACCGGCGGGGATACTGTCGTTAGGGCCCCTGATCGGCAGGGCCCCTGATCGGCAGGGCCCCTGATCGGCAGGCCCCCTGATCGTCAGAGCCCCTGATCGTCAGGGCACGTCCCCTGTTCCCCTCTCGGTAGACGGTCCGGGCCCGCGAGCCCGGCGCCTACCCGGCGGCGGCCGCGGCCTCGGCCGGGGCGGGGGCCACCCCGCGTTCGGCCAGGTCCGGCGCGCGCGCCTCCAGACAGAGTCTATGAATCACCTCGGGGAGCGCAAGCACCTCTTGCGCCTGGCCGCCCAGGCGGCGCAGGGCGACGGTGCCTTCCGCCGCCTCGCGGGCGCCGACCACGGCGATCACGGGTGTTTTCCGGTGGCTGTGCTCGCGGACCTTGTAGTTGATCTTCTCGTTGCGCAGGTCGACCTCGGCCCGCAGCCCGGCCGCGCGCAGCGCCGCCACCACCTCCTGGGCGTAGGCATCGGCGTCGCCGGTGATGGTGGCCACCATCACCTGGGTCGGCGCCAGCCAGAGCGGCAGCCGTCCGGCGTAGTGCTCGATCAGGATGCCGGTGAAGCGCTCCAGCGAGCCCAGCTTGGCGATGTGCAGCATGACCGGGCGGTGCTTCTCGCCGTCCTGGCCGATGTAGGTGGCGTCCAGACGCTCGGGCAGGTTCATGTCGACCTGCACCGTGCCGCACTGCCAGTCCCGGCCGATCGCGTCGCGCAGCACGAACTCCAGCTTCGGGCCGTAGAAGGCGCCCTCGCCGGGGTTCAGCTCGTAGGGCTCGCCCATGTCGTCGAGCGCCGCCTTGAGGTCGCCCTCCAGCCGGTCCCAGACCGCGTCTGCGCCGATGCGCTTTTCCGGCCGGTCGGAGAACTTGATGCGCACCGTCTCGAAGCCGAAGTCGCGGTAGATCTCCAGGATCATGCGGCTGGCGTCCTGCACCTCCTGCTTGACCTGCTCGGGCGTGCAGAAGATGTGCGCGTCGTCCTGGGTGAAGGCGCGCACGCGCATCAGGCCGTGCAGCGCGCCCGAGGGCTCGTAGCGGTGCACCTTGCCGAACTCGGCCAGGCGCAGCGGCAGCTCGCGGTAGCTGCGCAGGCCCTGATTGAAGATCTGCACGTGGCCGGGGCAGTTCATCGGCTTGATCGCGAAGGTGCGCCCGTCCTCCGTGTCGGTGGTGAACATGTGCTCGTGGTAGGCCTCCCAGTGGCCCGAGGCCTCCCACATCGCGCGGTCCATGATCTGTGGCGCGTTGACCTCCTGATAGCCGCCCTCGGCGTTGCGCCGCTTCATGTAGTCCATGAGCTGGCTGAACAGGGTCCAGCCCTTGGGGTGCCAGAAGACCGCGCCGGGCGCCTCCTCCTGAAAATGGAACAGGTCCATCTCGCGGCCGAGCCGCCGGTGATCGCGCTTTTCCGCCTCCTCCAGCATATGGAGGTAGGCCTTGAGCTCCTTCTCGTCGCGCCAGGCCGTGCCGTAGACGCGCTGGAGCTGCTCGTTGCGCGCGTCGCCGCGCCAGTAGGCGCCGGAGACCTTCATCAGCTTGAAGGCGTGGCCCAGGTCCTTGGTCGAGGGCAGGTGCGGGCCGAGGCAGAGGTCGAGCCAGTCGCCCTGGCGGTAGA